TACTCAAATAACAATTAAATACAATGAAACATTAAAAATAAATAAACTGCACACTAACCATCTTCTGGTTTTCAAATATTAAAAAACTGTAGAATTTGTGAAACTGCTGAATATCTAGGGAATAATCTTTTGCTTCCACCTCCTGAAAATACACTTGTGTTAAATGTGTTAAAAAAACGAACAAAACTACTCCTTAGAGAGTAGATAGTGTAAAATGCAAATCCCAACTCGCTTCAGATAAAAGCATCTGTAAATGCATAAATGTAAATGGAGAATTCAGTGTTTCACTATTATTTGTACCACAAATCTGTCCTCCAGAAAACGTCCACCTGGTACAGTGAAGTTCATCTGTGGCAAAAGAGACTTGAGCTCTTTCAGGGTGATGCTGAGAGAGAAACAATAATGAGCTGAGACAGAAACAAAAGTGAGACTGGTTGAGAAGAAGGTGAAAGAGAAAAAGGAGAACCTGTTTTTCTTTGATTGATCAACCGAGTACATCTGCTTCCTCAGCCAACTACAGTAGAGGGAAAAACAGAGAATTAAATGTTTGTTGATTTGTATTATGGTTTATGGATACACAAGGTACACTATCTGTATGTGTGTGTGTGTGTGTGTGTGTGTGTGTGTGTCTCTCTCTATACTCTCTGGTGTGTGAGCCGTCAGTGTCTCTTGTCTGAGTAACTCTAGTCCTGTCAGCCATTTCTCTGCATCCTCCACTGAATCAGCTGTGGAACAGCAAAGGCTTTTACAGAATAAGCACAACAAGACTATCATATTGACTAAATGAAGTGGTGAGATGGTCATGATTGTCCACCACACTGAGACTTGAAACCTCAGGGTGCTCCATTGGAACCATTCTGGTAAGTGTACTATTGCTAGCATAGCTGTTTACCAGCATATGTTATGTTTTAGATGTTGGTGATGATACTGTACTGCGGTCCCTTTTTAGCTATAGCTTAACCAGCAAGACTTCTTTGGTCAACCAAAAAGACCAGCTTCATTAGTTAAGTTTTGCTGGTGGGAAATATGCATATGCTGTAATACTAACTAGCATGAACTAGCTTGGACAGCACTGTTATTATGGTTCGAAAGTTTGGGGTCAAGATTTTTGAACGTTTTTGAAAGAAGTCTCTTATGCTCACCAAGGCTGCAATTGTTTGATCAAAAACAGTAAACACAGTAATATTCTGAAATATTATTACAATTTAAACAGCCGTTTCTATTTTAATATATTTTAAAATGTAATTTATTCCTGTGATGGCAAAGCTGAATTTTCAGCAGCCATTGCTCCAGGCTTCAGTACGTGTGACATGATCCTTCAGAAATCATTCTAATATGCTGATTTGGTGCTTAAGAAACATCTCTTATTCATTATTAATGTTGAAAACGGTTGTGCTGCTTAATATTTTTGTGGAAAACATTTTTAAAGGATTATTTAATAAATATAAAGTTCGATAGAACAGCGTTTATTTGGAATAGAAATCTTCTTTAGATCAATTTAATGCATCCTTGCTTAACAAAATGTATTAAAAAAATAAAATAAAATCTTACACACCCCAACCCATTGAATGCTAGTATAGCTATAACAGTTAAATGCTAGCCTACTAAATAAACATCCTGTTGCCTTATTGTGAACAAAATGCGTGAGGAACTTGTTACATACCTTTTAGACTCAGCGATTTTAAAATAAACTCTGATCCATAGAAGATGGTGAAACAGATTTTGCTGTCCTGCTGGAGCTCTTTTTCAGATTGGCAAAAGATTCGTCGAAATTTACTGCCCCTGCTCTCGTTAAATCGCTGGAAATCTTTGAACGTCTCCCACTGGCGAACCTCCTTGAACTCAAAAATGTCCACTGCGAATACATAAACACAGATGTAGTAAAATACAAAACCGAATGTATAAGCTACAGTATATCATCAGTATTTCTTTGAATAAATACCAGTGCTTGCATAAGCACATCTTCTGAAAATTGAGGCCAGAATTAGTGCGTAAGTAGGAACTTAGGACCACTTTCTTAGACATTAGTGTAAAATAATATAACTGCTATTTTAAAAAGCATTCATTTATTGATTTGCTTCAAGTCTACTTTCAAGGAAGCGACTTACACACTCTGACTATCCTGTCGTCAGAGCGTATCAAGGCCACCTGCATGCTCTCCATAATGACCTGGACAGTGAGTCTTTCAGCCCTCTGCTGATACACCATCATTTCAGTCCCCGTCTGCAGATGCTCAGTTACCCAACTCCTCTCATCCTCTGTCAGCTCATGCCGCTCACTGCCGCTCAGCATCACTGCATCTGACACACACAGCGTAAAGAGGCAGAGCTTTTTGCATCAGATTGCTTTACACTTTTAATGTATATCAAAACAATAACTGTTAAAAGTTAAACGATGTATATTCAGACGCACTTACCTTCCTGATTCTGTGCGCAAAGCAAACTGAGAAATGGCGTCTAGTGGTTATTCCCCAAACCAGTCTTGAGAAAAATCACATCCTGTCTGTGGCATAATCAGCTTTCTTATTTCCTATGATGAAAAGCAGGCATTTCCAGAGGACAAGAGAGGAAATAAAATCATCTTCCCAAATCATTTTCATGAAAGTTACCTGTGAATTGGTTTAAAGTAAACCAAATTATTAAGTACAGTAAATACCTGTATTTGAAATACCACAAGCCCCCAAACCAATATTTGGAAAGCTCTATCTTCCAAATTCTATCTATAAAAAATGCTCTCAAGCAGAAATTGAAAATTGTATAAGACAAACAGTGGCACAGACATTTTGTTTTTAAAACAAGGGGGTGGAGAAAAATGTAAAGTATTTGTGAGAAGAAGTGGATTTTACTGGAAAGAGAGAGATCGGGTGAGAGATATATCTGATGTGCAATTTCCTGAAGTTAACAGTTGTCACAAAATATGCTTTCTAGGTTTTTTGCTTTCTAGCTTTTAAAATCACCATATTGAAAAACAAAATATTTTCACTGCACCAGACAGAAGATAAAACATGATATTTTAAGTTGCAAGTTATAAACCCTAATAATCTTCCTTATTAGTATATTAATAAGGCATTTTTAAAAATCACAAATAATATGTATACAGTGTTTCCTTAAGATACTATTATATGTATTATATGTGTGTGTGTGTGTGTGTGTGTGTGTGTGTCTGTGAAATTTTAAATTTAAATTTAAATTTTATTCATTTTTTTCACCCAAATATGTCTATATAATTTTAATGAATGAATAATTAATTAATTGATTAATTGATTAATTGATTAATTTTATTACATAAAGTTAAACTAAATAAAAATTCCTTGGCAAATAGCTGAAATTAATAATATATATGTATATATATATATATATATATATATATACACACACATATCGCTCAAAATTTGAAGGAATATTAGCTGTAGGTATACCACTATACTAACATGTTTGACAAAATAATCAAGGCATTTCAACAAAAAATGTTATTTTGTGTAAAACACAGTGATGAAAATTAGAGAACAGTAACCACTGTTGCACGAAAAATTACAACTAAACTTTTGGAGGGTTACAGCTGTCAGAAATTAGTAGGAAGTGTAGAGGCCCTTGCTTTGAATGACTTCAGCACATCTGTGGCCACAGGACATAGTTTTCAGACTGCGCTGGTGTGATCTTGATCCACTCTTCTTCTGCTCTCTTCCATAGTTTAGTAACTGTAGTGGGTTTTTTAGCCATAACTTTGTTGCCAAGGATTTTCCAGAGATCAGGTGTAGATCAGGACTCTGGGCCGGCCATTTCATTATTTCAATGTTCTTAGCTTCAAGGAACTGCTTTACCTGTTTTGCAGTGTGACAGGTGCATTGTCTTGCATGAAAATTGCAGGCTGATTTGGAGATGCTTGCAGGGAAGAAACAGCATGTTGCTGTAGGAGGTTCTGATAAACATTTGCATTCACCTGCCATGTATCTGTAAAAGAGGCCCAACTCCTGCTGCAGAAAACATCCCCCAAACCATGACACTTCCTTCTCCAGCTTTCACAGACTTCTTTACGCACTTTGGGTTCAGTCTTTCCTCAGTTTGACGCCAAACAGTGTTTCCCACCGGACCCAAATAAATTAAACTTGCTCTCATCACTAAAGTGAACTTTGGACCAGTTCTCCTCTCTCCACACAACAACGACAGCAAAGGTGAGTCTCCACATTATCCTGTCTTCTCATCCATTTTTCTTACATGGACGTGGCCTTTTTGGGGGACTAATGTCATTGTAAAGCTGCAATATTTGAGAAATCACAGATTTGGAATGACCAACTCTCTTGCAATAGCCGCCTCCTTGCAGGGTTTCAGTCACCTTAGAGCGGCCCGCTATCTTGTAATCTCAATGAAAATTGGAGGAATGCTATCAGTTAAATAAGGTTTGTCATATAAATTAGCACCAGGTGCCAGATTAACACCAAGAACTTGGAGGTATCTGTAAGTGTTCTCTACACTGTAAAAAATGACCGTGAATTTAATGGTAAAAGACTGTAAAAATGCTACAGTAAAATCCTGTTAAATGGTTAACGGTAAATTCCCCTACTATACACGGTGAAAAACTGTATTGGACATTACATGTATTGGACATTAATTTTACGGTAGTATACCGTATTTGGAAGTGAAAAAGACCGTATAATTTACAGTGAATAACCGTAAATTGACATTCCCAGAATTCCCTGCGTTACATTTCAAATTTGATGTTTTTTTGTTGAAATAACT